CGTCACGTGTATGAAATTGATTACAATAGGTGTTTGGCAGATTTTGTTTACACTGTATGGTAACAGACTGTCTTATAAAAATAGCTCCTATTAGCGGACTTATCAATTAGTTAATACATGTTGTAGATACGCGAAGGGCGTATCGTTATTCCAGCTTCGTGACATCACTTCTCGAGGTAAACAATCGGCGTTGACAGGCGGGTAGAAACTGCTTACAAAAAGTCGAATTTTCTCGTTAAATCCCAGGTTTTGCACGACGCAACATCAAGATATCTTCTTTCCACTATATATGGTACCTACGGTTTAAGATTCATTGAGGTAGGAGCTTATACCATGGTTAAGGTGATTTTGACTGGACTATTTGTGCTTTAGCACGATTAGGAAGGAATCAATTAGACTCGTCTGATATAGCTGGTTTGCCCTCTTATAACAATCAACCCAATCCACGTACCAAATCGTCAACTTGAAGGATACTAGCAAACGAAAATACGAGATTGTAAATGCTATGACCTGCTTACAAAATTACGATCAATAAAAGTACAATGAAATACACACGGTTATTTTGCTGATCTGGCCTGGTACATATACTCTTTGGTCAATCGGTCAATCAGGACGCAGTTAATTTTTGTTCTAGCAAGTGTATTACTTTTTATTGAAAGATTTCTCAGGTGGTTACAGCACAAATTAGGAGATACCCGGAAATTGAATCAATGGCTAAATTCTCGAATGTTTGTATTTTGCTTTTAGGTTTTACCATAATAATGAATTTTTCAAGTGTACTGGTAGCAGGGCTGTGTGTCGTTGCTGTTGTCACGTGTGCATGTGAGGTTTGGTCGTTTTTAGCTCATTATATGAAGAAAAAACCCCAAGAAATGAAGAATTTTATTATTAATACAGTCATTAAATTGAGAAGAAATAGATATGAATCGGTTCTTAGTAATAATGATATCAATTACACAAGGTATGACGGTGTGCGCTCAAAAATAACAGGGGCACATATTTATGCAGTTGGAAGTTATGCTGAAACCATGCCAATGAGCGTTTGCCGTGATGCTGACAGAATGGTTATATATGAACAATTTCCACTTGTGGTAAGAAATCAACAAAGAGGAAATTGTTTAATAGCTAAGGAGAATTCACATGAACCACTCTATGTATTGCTTAAAGTACTGGACCATATGGGTCTGGATGAGGAGTGTAGAAGCTTAATTAACAATGACGGGTATCTGGAGTCGGAGGGTTTCTTAGATTTTTATATACGCAGACTGATGATCGAGGCACATACAGATACACCCACAATACATGGTCCCTCAGCATCATTCCCTGGGACTACAACATTTGTCGACAAAGGAACAGGACGTGAATTTGAAGTAACAGTAGAATTTGACATGGTCTTTTGTTTAAAATGCGAATCATGGCCGGGTAACTGTTTCGATTATTTTACTAGAAAAAGGCTGAACGACTGGCCGTCACGGGGGCTGCTAGAATCAATACATGGTCTACCTTTTCATGTAGTTCCCATTGGACACCACCTTAGCTCAACAAAGAACATTGAATGGAGGTATTCTTTTTCTATCGTTGAGAAACAACTCATTCTGGGAATGCCTGAGCCGTACGTTAAATGCATGATTGTCTTGAAAGCACTCCGAAACAACTACATCAAGTACAGTGATTCTGAAAAACCAACGCCATTCTGCTCATATTATATAAAGACCGCTTGCTTTTGGATGTGTGAAAGCGTCCCACATGATACTTACAAAAATACAGTTTTAATTAGTAAAGTACTGGATTGGCTTATTGATAGCTATCACAAAGGAAAGATGCGTCATTATTTTATTCCCCAGCAAAATTTGATCCGTCATCTTTCAGTGAAGTGCCGTGACGATGTAAGAGCAAAATTGACAGAAGTTAAGAAAAATCTTCGTTTAATGGTGATGACACCTACCGAAACAGAGTTATTTCAGGAATGGTGGAACTGTAACTAAGATTTTGATTTTATAAAATGACTAACATACTGTGTGTTCACCTCAATGTTATTATTCAGGCCCGTAGCCAGGTCATTTCAAGGGGGGTTCTCTGGGCGTGGGGTCCAGGGTTTGCCTAAGGGCCCCGGTGGGGTGGGGGGGCGAAGCCCCCGAAGCCAGAGCAGTTTTTGTGTTTAATGGGTCTATATAATGTTATAAAAGCAGTTATGTTTTGAAAAAGATCTATGTAATAAAAGGTGGTAATATAATAAAATTGGAAAATATTTTCTGAGTATTAGCATGTTTAAATCACACCGAAAGACAAAAAAAAAACCTCATCGTATAATCAATATCAGTATACTCAACACATTTATTATTATAAAACAAAACAAGCTATTATATAGGCCTATAAAGTAATTTAGAAAGAATTATGTACTGTGCTTCTTTATATATATAAAACATTTAAGAAGTGTATACTTGTCTTGTTTTAACTTAAATAATGAATCTTCCAGTAGGCCTATATAAACAAATAGAGCTGCCTGTTACAAAATAAAGTAGGAGCTGAACTTCTTTTTGACTCTCATCTTGTACACTAAAAATAATATTAGGCCCTACTATTTTTACTACATGGCTAAAAAAGCACAAATATTGTCATTACTACAACTGACAGGGCCATCGTTAAATTAAGTCAGACCCCAAAATATAGCATCATATCATATGTCATCTGACATCATGGGAACCTAAATTTTAATTAAATTATTTGTTTACTAGGCCTAATTCAAAATTATTATTTTAACTTTAAGACTTTAACCTAATACATACTGATTAATAATAGCTGAGATTTGATGCACATTTCAGAATTAATAATCGTTTTTAGTATCTTACTGAATATTTATTGTCTACCAAATGAAATATGAATTATATATGAATCTTTGGAAATACAATTTCTACAATATTAGTCTTGTTTTTATATAGATAAATGTTCGATAAATACTATCGTTCATAAAACAAACGAAATTCAGCGCGTCTATTTTCATTCCAATCATGGACCTATTAATAAGGTCCATGTTCCAATCAATGGCGTTTGTAAAGGTGTAGGACCGGTTCGGCCGTACACTTGTTCGGCCGTATGATATTCATTGCCCAAATAAGGGTTATTGTATGGAACGCCGTGTAGTGTATAATCAAAGCGTGAATTGGATGTCACTGTACTGTACAGTGCAATGTTGACCGCGGGTTAGGTGGTGGTGCAGGAGAACCTTATAATAAAAATAACGATTACTAATAAAAAGTGTGTTGTTTGTTTTTATTTCTACTGGTGGTGTACACAGGAACCTTATAATAAAAATAACGATATAACGATTACTAATAAAAATGTGTTGTTTGTTTTTACTTCTACTGGTGGTACACGGGAACGTAATAATAAAAATACGATTACTAATAAAAATGTGTTGTTTGTTTTTACTTCTACTGGTGGTACACAGGAACCTTATGATTAAAATAACGATTACTAATAAAAATGTGTTGTTTGTTTTTACTTCTACTGGTGGTACACGGGAACCTTATAATAAAAAATAACGATTAATAACAAAAATGTGTTGTTTGTTTTCACTTCTACTGGTGGTACACGGAAACCTAATAATAAAAATAACAATTACTAATGAAAATGTGTTGTTTGTTTTTACTTCAACTGGTGGTGCACGGGAACCTAATAATAAAAATAATGATTACTTATGAAAATGTGTTGTTTGTTTTTATTTCTAATAATACTTTACCGTTTAGACCATTGTATTTAGTACATTACGATATTTTACAGAGTAGTTTTTAATAGCATAATTTTTAGTTAAAGTATATTATTATTACTTAATAATTTACTTAAATTTGTAACTTATCAAATGTATTTGTATTTTGGAATAAAGTATATAATTAATTAAGTAGTGGTAACCAATTGAATTGTGATCAACTTCTGGTGTGTGTGTTATTATAACAGTAATATTGTTTGTTAAATCTGTAATCAGTTGGTGAATTCGCTTTGCATATACGTCCGTCAAAATATGCATGTTTTGTCCTCGAACGCAAGACGGTAAATAACGTCACCACGGAAATGTGTATTCTATTGTTATTTTTTCAATGAAGGGCGTTTACAGTTAACTTAAAGTGCTTGGTTGTAGAGAAAGATTATTATTACTGTATTATATTATTCATACTGTATAAAGTATTTGAAGATTTCTACAATATCTACAATATGGAAAGACAATATCAAATAAATTTAGTTAAAAGTTAATAAAAATAAAATTATTACAATTTACATCATTCAGATTAATTAAAGAACATAAAGAATCAATAATATTGTAAGCTCCAATGATATTAAGATAAATGCAGTAAAATACACTGGCAGTATATTAAAATTATCAACATTATTCTTCAATGATTATATCGACTATACGGTAGCATTATTGTAATACAAAACATATAAAATTTTGTTTGATTACTAACATATATGAATGCATAATAATGTACATTCGTACAGTTTCAAATATACTGTACAGTACAGTATATTTCCAACGAAATATATGAATCTTAACTAGGCCTATATAGCAATAGATTAACCACACACACAAAATAGTAAATTCTATTTCACTTGGTTTGATTATCAAAATATGATTACATAATAACGAACATTCGTTTGTTTCAAATGATAAAACGAAATAGGGGCCTATATGAATCTGAAACATTAATATTGTATTTTGGAATATAATTAATTAATCTTGCATTATGTAGACCTATGTATAATAAGCGTAATTATTATATACTGTACGTTTCAAAAACCGAAAGGTCCACTGATTAATCTCAGATAAGAAAGTATAATACATACTCCAAGTATTGAAATACACGCCATCGTGTTGGGATTCAATATTTCGACATTAATTATGTCATCATTTCTGATGATGACATAATTAATGTCGAAATATTGAATCCCAACACGATGGCGTGTATTTCAATACTTGGAGTATGTATTATACTTTCTTATCTGTACGTTTCATTCCAGAAAAAAGTGATTGGTTACCGTATTTAAAATATCTTAAACACTAACACGATTATATAAGTGGGCCATATAAAAATAGTAGTTATTAATGATAAATCATATTTATCATATAAACTGAATTATATATTTTTTATTCTACATATTTATTTTTGGTTTTCAGGTATGTTAAAGTTGGTAAAGGATCCCTTTTATTAACTGTTCTCCATTCATAGCTTCGTCAGGTCAGGCACCACCACCAAGCAGGTTCCTCTGGTCTTCGTGGTCATGTCTGCCTGGAAGATGGTTGATAATTGGTTTAGCAGTATATTAATCAACATATTAAAATGCAACTATGTAAATCGTATCAATAACATTAAAATAAACGTCGATAGATGCTATATAAAAATCATAAAATCCATTGGTTTGATTATCAGCATAATAACATAATAATGTTAAATCATAAGTATTAGTATTACTAACTTGCAAAAAAACATTATTAACTAACACAAACGTAATAAAATCCACTGTTTTCCCACAAGAAATCATGGATACAGTAGCAAACGATTACAATAGGGAGATTATTGTTAACCGCACACACATAGCATACACACAGCTCTGTGCCTATTTGGCGTTCCATACAAATATATTACGGCCGAACAAGTGTACGGCCGAACCGGACGTCATTCTTTGTAAACATGTGCACTGACGTTATCGTCGAATCCCAGGACTTTCGACGGCAATGCTGGCCTGCCTGCCTAGGTCCCAGGCCAACCAATAAAAATTAACAAAATGTATTTTTTTTAAATATAGGCCTATGGCGCATCCTAGTACATGCACTTCAACTTTTACAACAAAAGCCTAGGCCTAGTAGTACGTCCTACTGTACTTAAGCCTAGGCCAACACTAGTTTGATGTCGTCGGGGTACAATTCTGTCTCTAAATGCAGCGTGAACACTAGGGAAAATCAAAATTCAGAAGATTGGGTCTAAAAGATTGCTTTTAAAAACCCAAGATTCGCAAAATATTATTATTGCCTATATACATAAACTTCATTTTAAAGTTCTTCATTTTAAAGCTTTTTCAATGAATTATATACTGTACAGTATTTTGTACTGTATAGGCCTTAACGAAGTGTCTGGATTTTCGAGACCAGAAACTCGTTCGCTTTGGGCCATACTATTAGAAGGCCTACTCTGTGCGTCCGTGGAAAATACTTTTTGGTGACTAAAACGTGATATCATTTCCTCTGGCATTGTATGTTAGGTCAAGAGTTTAAAGTTTGTGCGCAATTTCACCCATTCGATATTAACAAAGTCAGTACTTCACACACATTAGGCCTATGGCCTACAATATTATATAAAAAGGCAAAATCGATCTTTACAGAGTGTCTAATTGATCTGTCAATTTTATACCAGGGGCCTACAGTATTGCATAGGAGTATTTAACAATATGAAAAATGTGGAAAACGGTTTCCTTTGGAATTTACTTAGCGAGTGTGTATGAAACCGGGTCTATGGCAACTAAAATTTGATACTACGTCTAGAAGTGTAAAGATACGGACCCTATTAGTAAAAACTGT